ATTTCACACGTAAATCTGGATTTCTGGCTTCCAAATGGACAAAAGTGGCAACGTTGGGTTTCTGTGCTTGGATGACATGCTTGTCACTGGTCCTTTAGATAGTCACATTCTCCATGCCCCTCCCCCATCTCTGAGAGTTGCCCTTTATCACACTGAACTTGCAGTATAGCTTTCCTCATAATAAAGAAATTTGCTTTGTATTTATGCCTCTAGCAAATCTGGAGCATAAAAGGCTAAATGTGTCACATGAGTCAAGAAACATAGGATATTCATTCATTCAACAAATATTTATTGACAACCCACTATGTGCCAGGCACAGCTGTAGATACTGGAGATACAGAAGTGGACAGCATGGACGAATATCCCTCCCTCCTGGGGCCTCGATCTGTACACTGTGTAACTTTCTTTCCACAAGTGGAGACATTTGAGCTGTTCCCCCGATGAGAAAGACTGCCTGTGTCTAGCATCATCTATGAAACTTCATCAGAGTTTCCACGAAGCCCCTACTGTGTCAGCCCCTGTCATTTATTGACAACCCACTATGTGCCAGGCACAGCTGTAGATACTGGAGATACAGAAGTGGACAGCATGGACGAATATCCCTCCCTCCTGGGGCCTCGATCTGTACACTGTGTAACTTTCTTTCCACAAGTGGAGACATTTGAGCTGTTCCCCCGATGAGAAAGACTGCCTGTGTCCAGCATCATCTATGAAACTTCATCAGAGTTTCCACGAAGCCCCTACTGTGTCCCAGCCCCTGTCAGGGTCTGGTACAACCAAAGTGCTCAATAAATATTTGTTGGGTGAATGAACTAAATTCACCTCTCTCCTAGGCAGTGTTAGTCAAACTTATTTGCCCAGGATATATTCAAAAGACAAGCAAGGGGCTTCCCTGGTGGCGCAGTGGTTGAGAGTCCGCCTGCCGATGCAGGGAACACGGGTTCGTGCCCCGGTCTGGGAAGATCCCACATGCCGCGGAGCAGCTGGGCCCGTGAGCCATGGCCGCTGAGCCTGTGCGTCCGGAGCCTGTGCTCCGCAACGGGAGAGGCCACAGCAGTGAGAGGCCCGCGTACCGCAAAAAAAAAAAGACAAGCAAGTAGCAGGTGCTCGCTTAATGTCAACTGAACAGAAGGGTCCAGGCTAAGAGTGGAGGGTTGACAAGGGAAGCAGAGCCTGGGAAAGGAAGGGGAAGGGGGCAAACATTAGTGCCCCTGCCAGAGCTCACACCATCCTCACCGTGGACCCAAGAGGTAGATGATGGGATTCTCACGTGACAGACGAGGATACAGCTTGGAAAGGAAAGCCCCTTGGCCAGACTCACAGGTTCCAGGAAGGAGTAGAGAAGGAGGCCCATCGGCCCCCAAAGTCCACACCTTCCCCACCCACCCAGGGAGTGCCCTACAGAAGTCCAGTGGGGGCATGTAAAGGGCCTCTGGAAGCCTCCCCCTTGAAAAACTACCTTCTTCCACTAGACGCCTGAAAGTCCACCATAAGCAGGCTGCACCCTTCTGACTCCTGACTTTTGAACTGTGTGAATTCACTTATCAGATTCATTTCCTCCTAATCTGTTCCAGCAAACATTTAATATGTGAGAAAGGTGTATGAGTGGTAGGGACTCTGAAATATTATTTTATTTTACATGTGGGAAGGGGGAGAGCTAAAAAGAGGAAGGGGTCCCATGCCTGCCCTTACTAGTTTAGCTGGTAAGAGAAGCCCAGTGGCCAAAGTAGCACAGCTACTGTGCCTCATGGAGGCCACCAAGTGCTCCTCAGCTTCTGAGGACGGTGGGGCCTCCCTCCAGGAGGCGGGCAGAGCGTGATGAATGGCTGGAGTGAGGGGTCCCAGGCTGAGCCTCAGCCAGGGCTGGGCTCTGGGGCCAAGACATGAGCTCCCTGACTGCCGTGGCTGCAGCCAGGCAAAGTAAGTTGGTCCTCTGCCCTCGGCTCACCTCTTCTTTTTTTTTTTTTTTTTTTTTTTTGCGGTACGCGGGCCTCTCACTGCTGGTTCCTCTCCCGTTGCGGAGCACAGGCTCCAGACACGCAGGCTCAGCGGCCATGGCTCACGGGCGCAGCCGCTCCGCGGCAATGTGGGATCTTCCCGGACCGGGGCACGAACCCGTGTCCCCTGCATCGGCAGGCGGACTCTCAACCACTGCGCCACCAGGGAAGCCCTCACCTCCAGTCTTGCTGCACCTGAACTCCGGCCATTTGGGACAAAGATGAGGGCTCGCGGGGGGAGCGGGGTGCGGCGGTGTAAGCCCCAGTGACTAGGCGCTGGGGTCTTTCGGGGTCACGGTGGACTCGGAACGGTTTAAACGCCCCTTCCTCTACGAAACCTTCCACACTTGCCCGGCCAGAAGGTGGGCTCTCGGCAGAGCTCGGTGCCCGGCCCTACGGGTGCTCTCCGCTTTGTATTACGGCCCGGAGAGGCCCGGCCTACCCGCCCACCGGCCTGCGCGTTCCTGCGGCCCCGCGTGCCTTTCCGAACGGTGCCGGCGACCAGCAAATACCTCCCTCTGGGCTGAACCACGAATTGCTCAGCCAGGCGTTTGGGACCCGGGGCCGCCTGGGCCCGGGCCCGGTTCAACAAGTGTGGGCCGGGCCGCCCAGTCCCGCCCGACGGCTTCACGCCTCCCCAGGCGCCCGGGGCGCGCCGGGCCGGGCCCAGTCGGGCGAGTTTCACTTCATCGCCCTTAGAGCGTGCGAGCGCCGAATAACATTGCCCCTTCCCCTCCCTCCCCTCCTCTGCTCCCTTCGAAACTCCGAAACTCCGGTTGGCGAACGCTAGCACTCCACCTGGGAGGTCCCCGGCGGGCTGCGGCCGGGCCGGCTGGGCAGCCGTGTGCTTTCCGGCCACCCCGCCCAGCCCGCGAGGCCACCTCACCGGCAGCGGAATGGAAACCGGTTCGACAGGTAACAAATAGGTGGGTTGTCACCGTTATTTCCCAACGCATGCGCCGTCGCTCCCCGGGCCACTCCAAGCTAATTAGCTCAGATCAGCTCCCCCCCCTCCCCGCCCCAGCCACCAACACACGCCACTGCGAGCCAATAAAGCGTGAACCCGTCCGTCCTGCTCGCACTTTAAGACTTCCCGAGCGGACGCGAGGGACGCCAGTCGCGCCGGGACGAGCATACCTGCCGCTTCCCCCGCCGCCCAGTGCATCTGGCTGAAGGGGACCTCGTTCAGACGGAGGACGGCGACAGCTCCAAGGAGTTGAAACGGGCGCGCGCCGTCCCGGGCACGGCCTCCCGGCGCAACGCGGGACGCTTTGGCGACTTCTCCGACCTGCTCCCCCACCCCCACCCCCGCCCGCCTCCAGCCCGGCCAGGGAAAGGTGGGACGGCTCCGGCTCTAGTTACGGAAGCGGCCGGTGCCCGGCGAGGAGGGTTCGAAAATGCCCCGCGCGTTTCTGGTGAAGAAGACGTGCGTCTCCACGTGCAGGAGGAAGTGGAGCGAGCTCCCCGACGAGGAGCGCGGCGAGATCTATGTGCCAGGTGAGGCGCCCAGTCCGCGCGCCCCGAACCCCGCGCCGCCGAGAGGGCGGCGGGGCCCCGTCGAGCGGCCGGCGTGCAGGGCGCAGTGGCGCTGAGCCCGGCGGCCGGCGCAGCTGGGGCGCCCGATTTAATGTTTAAGCCGCCGCTGCCCCGTTAGCCCGCTGCGCGGCCGACCCCGGGCGCGGGGGGAGGGGAGGGCAGTGCCGGCGGAAGGAGCGGCCAGGCGGGGGCGGGCGTGGGCGCGGGGGCTGCCAGGTGGGGGCGACAGCCGTTCCCAGGACCCCGGCGGGGCGGGGGGCAGGCCTGTCCGAGGCGCGCGGGCCCGCGCGGTGCCGCTCTCCCCTTCACCGGTCCGAGCCGCGGCGCAGGGGAAGCAACGGGGTGTGTCACCGCTCAGGCAACCCTCCACTCTTGTGTCGTAAATCCCGAAAGCCGGGACTTTTATGAGGCGGGAGGAGGGCACTGGAGCGGTGCCACTTCGGGGGGCAGGGAGCGAGCTGGAGTTTCTGCTGAGATTTGTGCAAAATGTAAGAGAAGACCCAGAGTTGAAGCCACCTTCATTGATCTCTCCCTCTCACCCACAACACTGGCTGCCAGAAGGTCCCCGTGAGGGTCGGGCAGGCAGGAGCTCCGAGCTGTGGGGAGCGCGAGACTGTGGGGAAGGCGCCGAGCTGCACCCCACTAGCCCTGAAGACAAAGGTGGGATCAGCTCTCACCTCTGTTAGAAACGCGCCTCCTTCGACCTTGCAGAGGACACCACTGAGCTGAGAGGGGTTTTAAGGAGCCCACCCCACAGCCAGGGAGCAGCCCCGGGGGAAGCTGGGGCACCCAGTTTATTTTCGGAAGACGCCTTGACAGCGTGGGAGTCAACTTTGGATGAGTAACCCCAGTTGTTTCTTCCTCCAGTGGCATCTTCCACGTTAGCCCCGAGACCTCTTCTGCGCCTTCGGTCCTCCCCCACCCCTAACAGAATCTTTGGTCGGGAGCCAGTTTCCTTCAGAACTCCCCTTCCCCAGGCGTTGCGGGTGGGGCGCGGGATGCGCTGAACACCCTGCCCAGCGCCTCCAACGGGGGAGAGGTTGTAATTAACCAACCGACTTTGACCGTTGATCTGCAGGTTCCCCTGCATCGCCCCGGCCCTGTAGGAGAGTGGTGAAATAAGTGGGAGCTCCCCGGCGGGCTGCGGCCGGGCCGGCTGGGCAGCCGTGTGCTGGGGGCCCTGCGCCCGCCCCCCGCCCCCTTCCGGCCACCCCGCCCAGCCCGCGAGGCCACCTCACCGGCAGCGGAATGGAAACCGGTTCGACAGGTAACAAATAGGTGGGTTGTCACCGTTATTTCCCAACGCATGCGCCGTCGCTCCCCGGGCCACTCCAAGCTAATTAGCTCAGATCAGCTCCCCCCCCTCCCCGCCCCAGCCACCAACACACGCCACTGCGAGCCAATAAAGCGTGAACCCGTCCGTCCTGCTCGCACTTTAAGACTTCCCGAGCGGACGCGAGGGACGCCAGTCGCGCCGGGACGAGCATACCTGCCGCTTCCCCCGCCGCCCAGTGCATCTGGCTGAAGGGGACCTCGTTCAGACGGAGGACGGCGACAGCTCCAAGGAGTTGAAACGGGCGCGCGCCGTCCCGGGCACGGCCTCCCGGCGCAACGCGGGACGCTTTGGCGACTTCTCCGACCTGCTCCCCCACCCCCACCCCCGCCCGCCTCCAGCCCGGCCAGGGAAAGGTGGGACGGCTCCGGCTCTAGTTACGGAAGCGGCCGGTGCCCGGCGAGGAGGGTTCGAAAATGCCCCGCGCGTTTCTGGTGAAGAAGACGTGCGTCTCCACGTGCAGGAGGAAGTGGAGCGAGCTCCCCGACGAGGAGCGCGGCGAGATCTATGTGCCAGGTGAGGCGCCCAGTCCGCGCGCCCCGAACCCCGCGCCGCCGAGAGGGCGGCGGGGCCCCGTCGAGCGGCCGGCGTGCAGGGCGCAGTGGCGCTGAGCCCGGCGGCCGGCGCAGCTGGGGCGCCCGATTTAATGTTTAAGCCGCCGCTGCCCCGTTAGCCCGCTGCGCGGCCGACCCCGGGCGCGGGGGGAGGGGAGGGCAGTGCCGGCGGAAGGAGCGGCCAGGCGGGGGCGGGCGTGGGCGCGGGGGCTGCCAGGTGGGGGCGACAGCCGTTCCCAGGACCCCGGCGGGGCGGGGGGCAGGCCTGTCCGAGGCGCGCGGGCCCGCGCGGTGCCGCTCTCCCCTTCACCGGTCCGAGCCGCGGCGCAGGGGAAGCAACGGGGTGTGTCACCGCTCAGGCAACCCTCCACTCTTGTGTCGTAAATCCCGAAAGCCGGGACTTTTATGAGGCGGGAGGAGGGCACTGGAGCGGTGCCACTTCGGGGGGCAGGGAGCGAGCTGGAGTTTCTGCTGAGATTTGTGCAAAATGTAAGAGAAGACCCAGAGTTGAAGCCACCTTCATTGATCTCTCCCTCTCACCCACAACACTGGCTGCCAGAAGGTCCCCGTGAGGGTCGGGCAGGCAGGAGCTCCGAGCTGTGGGGAGCGCGAGACTGTGGGGAAGGCGCCGAGCTGCACCCCACTAGCCCTGAAGACAAAGGTGGGATCAGCTCTCACCTCTGTTAGAAACGCGCCTCCTTCGACCTTGCAGAGGACACCACTGAGCTGAGAGGGGTTTTAAGGAGCCCACCCCACAGCCAGGGAGCAGCCCCGGGGGAAGCTGGGGCACCCAGTTTATTTTCGGAAGACGCCTTGACAGCGTGGGAGTCAACTTTGGATGAGTAACCCCAGTTGTTTCTTCCTCCAGTGGCATCTTCCACGTTAGCCCCGAGACCTCTTCTGCGCCTTCGGTCCTCCCCCACCCCTAACAGAATCTTTGGTCGGGAGCCAGTTTCCTTCAGAACTCCCCTTCCCCAGGCGTTGCGGGTGGGGCGCGGGATGCGCTGAACACCCTGCCCAGCGCCTCCAACGGGGGAGAGGTTGTAATTAACCAACCGACTTTGACCGTTGATCTGCAGGTTCCCCTGCATCGCCCCGGCCCTGTAGGAGAGTGGTGAAATAAGGGCGGCGAGGGGCCCTGTGAGGGCTCTTGCCTCGGTTTCTCTCCTGAATAAACTGTTGGAGACAGTGGGTGTAGTGGTGGCCTGACGACCGTCAGGATCCTATGGCCTACAGGGCTGGTGGGGTATTTCACAGCTTAGCCTTATCTCAAGTGCCTAGGCCCCTATCTACAGCCTCCTTAAAAGGTCGGAATGCGCCAGCAGTCCTGATGACCCCAGTGGGGAAACTGAGACAGAAAGGGAAGTGCGCTGCCTCCACACCGGAGGCGGATCAGGGTGTGGGCCCAGGATTCTGTGTATAGTTTCTTGCTTCTCCAAGTTCCCTGGGGAGTTGATCGGTGTTCCACCTCCAGAAGGGCCATGTGAGGGGGTGAGGGACGCGAGCCCCCTTCCTTGCTCCTGCCTCCTCCCTCACCTGTGTCTGACTTGCTGCTTAGCTGCTCCTTGGGATCTGATAAACCGAACTTGGACTGTGTTAAAGGTGAGCGGAGCCTTGCTCGAGACTAGTGTGCTGTTATTTTTAGTTTTATTTCACATCCCAATCAGTAACAGATCATGTGTTGACTTTTACAAAGGACAAAGGAATTCCGTTTGTTCAAATCATTGACTTCCTTGCATCCTAGTGATTTTCCCCAGCACAGTTCTGGTGGCCATAGTGGGAGTGGCGGGGGAGACCTGCACCCAGGGGCTGTCCCATCAGGTGCACAGGATGGTCTGTGCCGCCTGCCGCTGCTGTCCAGGTGAGGGCAGCCGCTCACTCTGCAGGATCGTCCCGGATGTAGGATGGGGTCTAACCTGGAGGTTCAGGTGACAGTTTGCCAGGGAGAGTCCTGTGGGCTCAAGCAAACAGTAGAAGTCAGAGAGCTTTTGCCTCTCAAAACCATGTGGCCCACTAGAGAGTTTTCCCACAGTTTTTGGAAATGAGAAAGGGAATGTTCTCGGGCCACGCTCGGGTGCCTCAGATGGCTAGAGGGTGGGGAGTGTGTTTTGTGGTGGCCTGTCCCCTGACTGGGCCATTCCATCACCAGCCGACCGTGACCCTAAGAGCCGGCTGGGCACGTTTCCTTCACCCCACCTCACAGACTCAGCACGTTGTGACCAAGTAAGCATTGACCCCATCCGGTCCCACTGGGAGAGGCACCGGGAGGGCTGGGGAATGAAGCGTTTGAGGTCTGACCTTCCCGCCGGGGCCCTCTGAGACCCTCAGAGCAGCAAAGAACGCCTGGAAAGAAAGTGTTTACTGACTGAAGATCCTGGGCCCCGGACTGGCAGCTCTGACTCCAGGGCCCGGTCTGGCCAGCACTCCAGCCTCTTCTGTGAGGCGCAGTTCTAGAGGTTCCCCGCTCAGTCCCCTGGGCCTCACTCTCCTCCCAAAGCTGAGGGAAAAGCCCGGAAGTTGGCACAGGGCCTGGAAGGCTGCAGGGGTGGGCGGGAGCACTGAAAGGGTTCATGGCTAAGTTGCCACCTGTTTGGCCCTCGAGCCCCTGCCCTCCATCTCCCCTGGCATTTCTCCTTCGTTGTGTCATTACCGACTGTGGAGTGCAGGGACTGATGCTGCTCTCTTGATGATGAACCCAGGCCCCTGTACCCAGGGGCTAAATTCCATCTCCTGGACCTCAGGGGAAGCTCCAGGAACGGGGAGGAACGGGGATGAAGTGGGGTTCTCCAGGCCCCTGCTGAGAGGAAGCTCAAAAGGCCAGGAAGGCACTGGAGGGCAGACCAGGCCTGGAAGCTGAATGACATGCTCCAGCCATGAGCATCCTGGGGCCTCTTCCCTACCGCCCCCCGCAAAACCGCCCCCCCCACCTCCCCACTTCCGACGGAGCGTCTGCAGTCCGTTCTGCCAGTTCATCAGCACATGCCTACCCCAGGGGGGCAGCCAGGCTGAGGTGCGCAGGACTGGAGCGTCCTCAGCCTGGCTCTGACTAGGCAGTGTGGGCACCTGGGCAGCTCTTTCTGGGCCGAGTTAGAAAGGCTGAGAAAGTCAGCTTTGGGCCCCAGAGTACACATGTAGGGGCACGAGGGAGTGGAGCTGGGGAGAGATTATGCCTCTGACGGTGATCATTCTGATTCCTGGGAAGTGCTGGCAGTGAGGGACGCGTCTGCAGAGCTCTCTGGGGCAGCAAGGCTGGGAGGGCAGACAGCCAGCCCACGGATGGGTACGGTGGGCTACATGGGACTCCTAGCTGTCCCACAGGGTGCCGTCACCCAAGCTGCCAGGCTGTTTGTCCCTAGCTTGGGTGACCTGAGGCAGAATCCTGCCAGACTGTTTGTCCCAGAAAGAGAGCAGGTGAGGCCGAGTCCTCTGGGCACAGGCAGGACGGGCGCAAAGCACGGCCATTGTTGATGTCAGCCTTCTTTAACTCTCTTCACGCTCAGCAAGTATCGTGTGGCGTCCCACAGGGGTGCCAGCCCCATGCTGCACGGGAGGGAGGGAAGGAAGGACGCAAACACAGTACGGTCCCGCCGGTTGCAGCGTCCGCCCTGGTGTGAGGCTGAGGTGCACGGGGTTGGTTAACTTCACTGTGGACGCGGTACGAGGAGCGGTTGGGAAAGGGCGGAAAGATCCTGCCTGAGAGAAAAACTTGGCGTTCACAGAATGGAAACGACAGGCTAAGAGATGGGCCCGTTGTGTTTCCAGGGCTGCCCAGCTCTGCCAGTTGGCTGGCACCGGCTCCCTTTCAGGCCCCTGCTAGCTGACCTGGGGGCCGGAGGAGACGGACACAGGGGACCCTGCCCTTCCCGATAAGGGTGCAAGACCGCCTAACGCCAGCCTGGGCTGTGCTGACACACTGGGCTCCCCCCCCGCACCCCCCACCGCTTTCAGGTCGGCAGCAGCGCCAGCCCGTGGCTAGGTGTCCTCACGTCTGCTTCACCCGCTCTCCCCAGAGAGCCTAGGGCCAGGCCTCGTGCCCAGCCTTGGCCTGAGGCCTTGGATAGGGTAGGACCTGGCACCCTGTCTGGTATTTGGGCCAGGAGCTTTCAATCCAAGAGAGAGGGGACTTGCTGAAGGCCTCGGGTGGGAAGCTGCTCTGGGCCCAATGCCCACAATGTCATCCAGGTGAAGGCATGTTGAGCCGACAGAAAGGGAACCCGTGCAGCCCCTGAGGGGGTAGGGAGAGGGCCTTGCCACACTCCTCAGCTGCGGGCGGGCGATGAGTAGCCACAGCGGCCGCCACCTTGCCGGAAACATCTAATTAGGGGACAGAGAGTAGCGCAATCAGGGCCCAGCCAGTTCTGCTCGCTGCCGCTCGGTGCCGCCCAGTGACAGGCGCGGCGGCAGGGCCACGCTCCGGGGGTGGCAGGAAGACGGGTTTGGCGGGGCGGGTGGGATGAGGCAACCGTCCCCACCCTGACGGCCTCACCTGCCCCTCGCTCGGGAAAAGCGGCACAGGGGCAGAGCAGGCAGGCCCGCTCCCTGTCCCCGGTTCCCCAGCACTGTCATCTCAGGGCTTCTGCGGAACGGGAGAGGCAGGCCTGCGAAACAGGTCTCCCCCTAAACCTGCTTAGATCCTCAGAACCCTCACCATGGACCCCACTCTAGTGGAGCCACGGAGCCAAGGGTGACAACTCGTTTGAGCGCAAACCGGTTAACCCTCACCTGTTGTCACTCCTCCCTCTGCTGCTCCGTGTGCAGGCTCTGCGGCCCAGCTCCAGCTTTTGGGAGCCTTGATCTCGCTCTCTGATACTGAAAGACAGAAGAGGGTAGAGGTTCCTGTTTGTCTCTACCTGGATTGAAACATGGAAATTGTCATCCAGTTTTGAATTCTCAGACACGATCTCCAATAGCTGGTAATCTGGCATAAATTGAAGCTGCCAACACTCTGACACGCCCACCCTCTGGCAGCCCCCATCCCTGTACACAGACGGCTGTCACTGTGGGGGGGGGGGGGGGGGGGGGGGGGCCTCCGAGAGCTCCGGCCTGACATCCAGCCGTCCAGGGCTTGGAGAGAGGCCAGGTCAGGGCCAGGTGCTGGTGAATCAACTCCCGGAATGAGGTGGCACATTAGAGTCCCCGGCCGGACAGACAGACGGCGCCAGTGCCAGCAGAACGGGTTTGGGTGGCGGGCAGGCGCATTCTTCCCCTGTCAGAACTTTGTTGTGTGTGAAGGGGGCGAGAGCGGGGGCCTCTCCCGGAACTTGGGTGCCTTCATATTCGCCCTTCCTCCGTTGGTGTGTCCTCTGCTTCCAGCCTCGCCCGCTGCATCCTGCTGGGGCCGCCCCTCCCTGGGACCCCGTCCACTGTCTCAGCGGCTGGGGGCTGCGGGCGCAGGGGCCCTTCTTCACGGTTCTGAGACCCTAAGTCAACCTGCCAAGTCCCTCTCCCTGAAGCCCACTCATCCTTTCCTTCCTGTGCCCCTCTTGATTTTTCCTTCTGAGGCTTGGAAAATGTTCCTAGCTTAGCCTCTTCGGGAGAAAACTACTGACCAAACTGTAACATTAGATTGTTTGCCTCAGCTCTGGGGGTTTGAGACTTGTCTCCTCTGTGTCACTTGGGAGAGCCCCCCTCCTGTCTAGTCAGGACGAGGGCCAGGCCTCTCCGGCCCTGTTTAGCATGAGGTGTCTGCCACGGGGGGCAGCGTGTCAGAGGGCTGCCGGTATTGCTGGTATCGCTGCAGCTGCCGTGCGAAGGGCGGGAGCCCAGCCCTCAAAGCGCCACAGCGACCAAGCAAGTGAGCGGTCCCTGCTCTGGGGAAGGCTTGCGTAACAGCCGGGCAGGCTGCCCAGGAGACTGTTAGGCTGCATCCACCTGCTGCTCCCTGACCTCCTCCCTGCCCTGCCCCACCCGGCCTGCTCACCTGCCAAGCTGGGCCAGCGGGAGTGGGGAGCCTGGAGCCCCAGTGAGCTGCAACGTCAGGGACAGACCACCCGGAAGGAGAGAGGGGTTAGGACCACCCGTTCCCCACGGCCAGCAGCTAAATCTGCCTGGAAGAGAGGCCCGGAGTGGCGCAGACCACCGGGACCCTTCTGGGGCAGGGATGAGTCCCTGGGTCCAGGGCCTCCAGTGGTGCCCTTTGTCCCTGCAGGAGCGTGGATGAGGCCTGGAATCCAGAGGGACTGGCCCAGGTGGGGCAGGCAGACAGCTCGGGAAGAATAATTGGCAGGGCAGGTTTGGTCCTCCCAGTTCCGCTAAGACACAAATTACTCAGCGGGCAGGCCTGTGGGCCGTGGAGCTTGGCTGGCGTCACCTGTAATTACCTTAATGGGGTGGGGGGAGGGAGGTGCGGCATGCAGTGGGCTGGGGGCAGCCCTGCTCTGCCACATGCCTGCAAGGGGTGGGACAGCGGCTCCAGGTTCCAGCCAGCTAACTGCCAGGGAACTTTCCGGAAATCCCGCGCAATCCCCTTTTCTCCACCAAGCCCCTCACTTGGCTGTTCTTCTCTTCCCAGTCAGCCTAGGCTTCTGCCCACCACGGCCCTACAGGGAGCCAGAGCCATCAGTGGCCGAACCCCCTTCTTGCCCCCTGGCTTTGGACATGAGCCTTCGGGACTCCAGCTATAGTGTGACCCCAGGGCCCTGCGTGGTGGCCCAGCTGCCCTCCGAAGACACGAGCCGCCTGGCAGACCCACAGAGCAGGGACCATGGCTTCCTGCGCACCAAGATGAAGGTACTGACCCTCACACTGTCTCAGACGACCAGGGGCACGTGTATCCTCCTGGGTCCAGCCCACGAGACGTGGCACAAATGAGACTTAAGCAGAGATTGGCCTTGGATCTGGGTCTAGGTTTCTGCAGAGAAGTGAACCTCACTGGAGCACGGACGGGGGTGGGAAAGAAGAGAAGTGGGTCAGAAGTGAGAATGCCCATGCGCTGGGAAGAAGCAGTGAGGTTCCAAAGACGCTTAACCCTTTGGAGTCCTCTCTGGGGGGTGTTTAGCTTTGTTTCTGGTCTTGAGGGGAGGCACCTCTTTACACAGAAGTCCTAGGAGAAGCGGGGAAGCATGAGCCTGGCTCTGCAAGCTGACCTGGGCCTACGTCTCCGCCGCCTGAGAGTGAGGTCTGGAGTCTGCTCGGTGGTCGACTCCCTGCGCAGGTGCCCGGCGGCAGTCTCCGCCTCGCCCAAGTGTGTGCTTCCATCCCAGAGCCTTGCGTCTGGGGCGGGGCCTGGTGAGTGCCCACTCGCTGCTCAGTAGCAGAGGCAGGAAGGAGCTCACAGGAATG